GTGACGGCCAGCTTTTAACTGACATGTCTGTACCTGACAAGCGGTTATTGCTTTGTAGGAGATGTTTAGCAGTGCACAGATTTGAAAATTGGGGAAGGAGCTAATGTTTTTGGAACCCCTCTTACGCGCCGGGCTGTTTAGTGTGGGGTCACGGGGCCGGGAACAGTGCCCAGAACACAGTAGGTGTTCTGTTAATATTTTTTGAAGAGGGAATCCGCGGGCGGTCCAGTGGTTAAGACTCTGCGCTTCCACTGCAGGGGGCGCAGTTTCGATCCCCGGCAGGGAAACTCGGATCCCACACGCTATGTGGTGCGGCCAATCAATCAATCTATAAAAATAAAAAAATATTTTTGTAGAATGAACGTAGTTGGGCAGGTATTATTACCCTCATGTCACACGTAGAGACACAGAGAGGCCAAGCCCCTTGGCTTGAGGTCAAGAAACGCCACCAAAATGAGAAGCCCGTGCACCACAACGAAGAGTAGACCCTGCTCACCACAACTAGAGAAAGCCTGTGTGCACAGCAGGGAAGACCCAACGCAGCCAAAAATAAATAAATAAACAAAATTAATTTATTAAAAAAAAATGTTACACAGCATTGCCTCCGCCATGGTCACAAGCTCCCACTCAAATTCAAGGGCAGGGCCCCTGCTCTCCACGGGCGGAGGACAAATTATACGAAGAACTTATGGGCTGGGTGCTGTCATTGCAACATGCCGTCTGCCTCAGCTAACAAGTGGATGGAAGGGCTGAGTGTGGAGCCAGGTGTGTGCAACTCCAGACCCCTCTAGGGAACACCCTGAACCTCGGGTGTCAAGGCCAGGTGTGACCTAAGCCCCAGTAGGAGCCTGGCGACCCCTGGCCAGCGGGGGGCCTGGCCAATCAGGTCTGACCAGAACAATCCCCAGGCTTCTGCCTGAACACCAGGATAGAGCCAGTGGAACTGCGCACTGGACTGCGGCTAGAAGGACGCGAGCCTGGGCGGCCGGCTGTCGTCTGGCCACCGTTACTCGCCCCAGAGTGCAGCCAGCAGACCCAAGAGCAAGGAGAATTCATCCAAATCCTAATAACATCATCTGGTCCCTGGATCTACCCTTGCCTGAAACTAAGAGATAGCTGATCTTCCCACTTTAACAAATTCTGCTGTCAAAGTGTCATTTTCAAAAGGCTTTCAGCCAAATATATACTGAGCACGTGTCAGAATTTTATCTCACCCGTTAACAAGGTGAACGAGTCTAGATGGCAAGGCTGGTTCAAAGAAGAATGTCAAACCCTGACGGATCCACATGCAGTCAGAGAAGGAGCTCCGGAACGAGGCTGCTGAGCTGGGCTCAGGAGTTAACGTCTAACACTGATGTCAGGTTAATGTCTTAACAGGACAATAAAGCCACAACCTTGCTTATCTTCTCCACCAGACAGAAGTCACCTGCATGTTTATGGGGGAAAATCACCTGCACTTTTCCTATTTTCCGCAAGGTAACCTCCAGCTTCGTGGCACCTGGGCCTGGTCGATAATAAACGGCAAGTCAGAGAAAGCAACCCTCCCGGGCCGAACGACACCCGGCAGGCTGGTTAGGCAGTGACCCCGTGAAGGGACACACGTCACCCATTTGCCTCGTTTCTGCGAGTGGGGTAATTTTCTGAACTCTGCTTCCACGGTCTCCTGGGGTTGCCCTAACAGCACCACAGCCTAGGGGGCTGAAAACACCATCAACTCACACCCCGTCAGCTCTGGAGGCTGGTGTCGCAGGGCCATCTCCCAGCGGCGGCTCCAGCGGAGGGGGGGCCCTTCCTGCCCCTTTCAGCTTCTGGGGCTCCCACGCTCCTTGGCTTGTGGCCATGGCCTGCACCTCTGGCTCTGTCACTGCGCGAGAGGCAGGATGACCTCTCTAAAGACCCTCCCTCCAAACAAGGTCCTATTCTGAGGCTCTGGGTGGGTGTGAATGTTGGGGGGATGTCCTTCGACCCAGTGCCCTGCTCCAGCCAGTTTCGGGTTTCTTCCCTATGAAGAGTCCCAGCAGGCACAGAACCCTTGGGTTCAGGTGATGCAATGCAGAGGCAGGGGGCCCTTCTGGAATCCAGGGTGTGGGCGCCACCTCAAAGTTCAGGGGTCACGAGCTTGAAAATCACTCTTGTTGCCGAGAAAAGGGACCGGCTGGCCTGGAGCAGAGCTCAGGAGACCCCCCAGCATTTGGTGTCAGATATCGGGGGGCAGGAGATGAAGGCGCGGCGAAGACCAGGGACACCCGGAGGAGGCGGCTCCTCCTGAGGTCCTGCAGACGCGGGGGCAGGAGGGGCCTCACCTGGGGTGCGGGGCATTGCGGGTGCAGCTGCTTCCCCGGGTGGGAACGTTGCCAGATCTGACGAGAAGCAACCCCTTGGCTCAGGTAGCACTGCCAGGAAGTTATCTTACAGCAACTGGGCAGCTGTGCACAGGGACGGGCACACAGGTCTTTTTATTTTATTTTTTATAAATTTATTTACTTTTGGCTGCGTTGGATCTTCATTGCTGTGTGCGGGCTTTTCTCTAGTTGCGGCGAGCAGGGGCTGCTCTTCATTGCGGTGCGCGGGCTTCTCATTGCAGTGGCTTCTCCTGTTGAAGAGCATGGGCTCTAGGCACGCGGGCTTCAGTAGTTGTCGCTCGCGGGCTCAGTAGCTGTGGCACATGGGCTTAGTTGCTCCGCAGCATGTGGGATCTTCCTGGCCCAGGGCTCGAACCCGTGTCCCCTGCATTGGCAGGCGGATTCTTAACCACTGCACCACCACGGAAGCCCCACACAGGCATTTTTAGCAGGAGGTTCGTAAGGGCCTGAGATGGACTGACGGACAGGCAGGCCCAGCCCAACAAGGCAGCAGTTACGCAGTGGGAAGGAGGCCCCTGCTCGGTCCTGGCTACATCGTTACCATAAAAATAAAATGCAGAGACTTTGGCTGATGGAGATGTTCACTGTCCTGAATGTGGCAAAGTGTCCCGGGGTGTCTACGCATCTCAGCTCATTCAATTGTACGCTTTTACATGCGCCGTTTACCGTACGTGAATAAACTTGTAAAAAAAAAAAAAGCGTGTACACGACAGGGTGCATCTCTGAAGGATGCACGAGGAAGTGGTACGTCGGGGAGGGTGCTCACCTTGCTGAGGGACTTGCTGGACTTCCGGATTCTTTGCTGGTGTGTGTCTATCACCTACTGGAATAGACAAATATTCCAACTAATACCTACATTCATCAAAGAGTCTGTGTGGGAGGTTGTAGTGGCTTCACTGGTGGCCCCACAAGAGATGTACCTGCCTGGCCTGGGCCGGTGTCACAAAGGGAAGGGACTCCAGACGAGGCCATCCTGGATCAGGGCCGGCTGAGGGGCGCCAGCAGCCCTCTGGAGCTGGGAGACGAGCACCCCGCCTCGCCCCGAGGAACCAGCCCTGTCCACACCCACCGCGCAGCTGAGGACACTTTCCTGCTGTCCAAACGCCCAGTTTGCTGCGGCCCCTGGACCTCACGCAGGCGGAGCCTGTGACACAGGTCGCTGGGAGGCTGGCAGGACCCTTTCCGAGGGCTGGGCGGGGGCGAGGGGGGCGAGGGGGCGCAGCAGCTTTCTAGGAGTTTGTCTGCAAAAGGAGTGGAGCATGAGGGAGGGATTTCATTATTGTCATTGCTGTTATTTCAGGGTGCGGGGCGGGGAGAAGGCGCTAGGTGAGCTGAGGAAAGGCGGCAGGGGGCTGGAGGTGCCGGAGAGATGCCCGCAGGCCCTGCCGGCGCCACCCCCCGCCTGTGGGGACTGCCAGGCTCGGGGCCCCGGGGCACTGCAGACAGAGCAGCGCGGGCGCCCCAGGGCACAGGCCCCGGAAAGCTCGGACTGGACCCTTTGAGAGCCGTCCACCTCCCCTGTCCCAGACTCTTCTAGAACCTTGCTCCTCCCCCATCCATTCCCCCTTACCTTGGCTCCCCTCATCCAAGGGTGACCCTAAGGCTAGGTCACAGGTCATAGATATCGGCTGTGGCCTCTGTCTCTCGGATACTCACTCTTGAAGCCTAAAAACACAAGTCCTCCCCCAGCTCGAGCCAGCTCCCCGCCCCGCCGGCCTCCCTCCTCCCCGGGGCCCCTGTGGTTCCCCCAGGATAATCTCCTGCCCTGTAGTCGGAGGACGACACCAGCAGCCCCAGTCCATCTTCCACTGAATCACTTCTCTGGGACCCGACGCACTCACGTCCTGGGGCCTCACTGCCGACCCCCCTGCTCTTTCCGCCCGTGACCTTCCCCCGCTGCACACCCCGTGCTGGACAGGATGCCTCCCAGCTGAGCCTGCTTCCGGGTGACCCCGCCAGGCTGTCGGGGGCTGGACACGTCCTCCCCAGCGGCACCGTCCGACTGTGGGGGCCGCCTGCTCCTCGAGGCCCCCCACAGGGACCCTGCGTCCGTCTCCAGCGCCTCGGCCACACTGCCCTCCCACCACGAGTGTCATTCCCGCTCGGTCACCCGGGCGGGGCTCCCGTGGCCATGACCCGGGCCTTCCCAGTGCCCCTTCCGGCTCAGACCTCCAGGCTCTGCATAGGCTGTTCTGCGAGAATGCCCTTCCTCCTGTGACCCACCTCTCCAGCTCCGACACCCAAGGCACTTCCCATGGCAAAGTCGCTGCCACACGGGGAGGGCCCTTTTAGGATCCCTGCACCACCAGTTTCTGTAGCCCTAGCTCCTGGCCGAGCCTGGTACACGCAGGCACTCAGTAAATGCACACTGGACTAATTAAGTGAAATGTCCTGGGCGTACAAGAGCCCCAGCCTATGCACCCAGTAGGGGCCTTGGTACCGGCCACTCAGCCCAAATGATCCGGAGACCTAGCAGTCAGAGAGGGGTCCTCCCTCACTGCAGCTCCACGGCTGTGTATCTGGACGGTCTGCCTGTGAGGTAGTGAGCACCCGGTCACGGGAGGTGTGCAAATCGGGGCTCAGAGCGGGTAAGGGCCCTCAGGCGGCCTTGGCTCTGGGGTTTGTGTAGGGGTACGCATGGTGCCCCAGCAGACAGGCCCCGGGGTGAGGGGCCCAGGGGTGCGAATGGGGTTCCCACAGCCTTGTGTTGGGAGGAGGCCCAGAGCAGGCCCAGCCATTTCTGGTGCCAACAGCCCTCCCACCCCTCAGAGCTCGTTTCCCAAACAGCACCTCCTCCCCTCCCAGCTGGGCCACCAGGGTTTAGCAGGCCACAGTGCAGCCCAGACGGGCGGGGGCTTGTGAGCCCAGCCGCCGGTCGCCCAGCCCTGCCTGAGGGGTGGGCCCCTCTGAGCGACCCACCGCCTCCCCGAACCCCCGCCTCGTCCCGGCGCGGCCAGGGCCTCCTGCCTGGGTGACAGTGCTCGAAAAGCCACCAAGGAGCAGACCGCCACTCGGGCGAGCTCTCCGCCAGGGCCTCTGAAGTCCCAGGATTTGAGGCGTTTGCTGTGCAGACCTTGTGGGCCGCTCCACTCCTGGTGTCCCCCCCGGCTCCAGGCAGAGAGGAGCTGGGTGGACACAGGTGGTGGTGGGTTTGGAAGAGGCCAAGGAGTCCTTCAGAGGGAGGCTCAGAGCCTGGGGAGGACGGGGCCCAAGGCCCCTGAGCCCTGGTTCTGACGGGGAGACCGGGCAGGGGCCGAGACCTGTGGGGAGCAGACTGGCCGCCATGCTGTGCGCTCCCCAGTAAGGCGGAGCCCCCAGACGGCCCCGGCCCCACCAGCCCCCTGCCACAGACTCGACCTAACATACCACGCACACCTGTGGCTTTAAGCCGCCTGGCTGTCCCCTGCAAACTGCTCATTCCACATTCTTGGGGTGGTGGGGCCGGTGGGGCTCCCGGGACGCATATAAGGCACAGGGCGGCCGGGAGGGGAGCTGGGGCCTCGCCACCGCTGTCCTCATGGCCCTGCTGCTCCTGGGGCTGTGGGGGCTCCTCCGCACCTGCACCCACACCCCCTCCCCGGCCCCCTGCTGGCCCCCGGGGCCGCGCCCGCTGCCCCTCGTCAGGAACCTACATTTGCTGCGTGTGGCACAGCAGGACGAGTCGCTGATGGAGGTGGGTCAGGGCATGCACGTGCTCGGCTGGGCTCTGCGCCTGGGCCCCTGCCGGCCCTGAAGGCACCCCAGCCCCAATTTCCAGGAACCCCGTGGGGTGGGAGGTCCGTGCCCAGGGGACACAGGAGGCCCAAGTGCCCGCGTCGCCTCGGGGAAGAGAAAGACATTCCAGCCCACAGGGAAACGGATGGGCGGACCAAGGAGCAGGGGGCCAGGAGTGGCAGGCCTGGAGGGCTCCCTGGAGAAGGCAGTTTCTGATGAGTGCCTGCAGGAGGGCCAGGTTTGGGGGGGCCTCGTGGGACGCCTGTTGGGTGTGGCTCCTGCCACCTGGGCTGGAGGCTGAACACCCTCGCCCACCTCGAGCTGGCTGACCCGCTGAAGCAGAGGCACAGGCCTGGCCCCGCCCTCGGGGATCATCCAGCCCACCGCCCCCCTCCACTGAGCTCCAGCTCCCATGATCACTTGGCTGAGGTGCCTCCAGGACCCAACCATGAGGCTGCCTCGTGGCCCCCAGGCCCTGCAGGTGGGTGGGGAGCCGTGATGACCCGCGAAGTCAGCCTGCAGGCACCAGGGTTCTCAGGCCCTGTGCCCAGTGCCGGGCCCTGGAGGCCACTGTCTGCACGCCGGTGGCAGAGCGGGCAGTGGGCAGGAGTGGCAGGCCCTGCTGCACCACGTGATCCACAGCAACTCACTTCCCACCCCCAGGCCTGTCTCCCCATCTGTAAAGTGGGGAGACAACAGCCCTCCCGTCCCAGGCAGGGGTGCCGGGAGGACAGAAGGGAGGGGGCCCACACAGAGGCCCAGGGGCCTCCCTGAGTCCTCCATATACGGTGGGCGGGGCCTGAGGGGCTCCCAGGGGAGCTGGGGGTGGAGCCGCAGGCTGATCCCTGCCCGTCCCCACAGCTCGCGGAGCAGTACAGGCCAGTGTTCGCTGTCCATCTGGGGCGCCAGAAGACGATGGTGCTGACCGGCTACGAGGCGGTGAGGGAGGCCCTGGTGGGCACCGGACAGGAGCTGGCCGGCCGGCCCCCCATCGCCATCTTCCAGCTCATCCAGGGAGGCAGGGGTAGGTGTGTGGCGGGGTGAGGGGGCTTCCACCAGGCAGAGAGGGGCCAAGGAGAAGGGTCGGTCCCCCTACCTGCGGCAGCTGGGGGAGCGCTCCCAGTGTGGCCCAGGGGGAGTGCCAGGGTGTCCACGCGGCAAGCTGGGCGCACCGGGGACCAGGGAACACCAGAAAGGGCTGGGCCAGCCGAGGCCAGCTCCAGGGGCCAGGCCTGGGGGAGGGAGTGAGGCCCCAGCCAGGCCCCCGCCCCGTCGGTCAGCCCCCCGTTGCTCCCTCCTGCATCACCCGGGCCGCTCACGGGGTGTCCGGCCCGCAGGCGTCTTCTCCTCCTCCGGGGAGCGCTGGAGGGCCGCCCGCCAGCTCACCATGCGCACCCTCCGTGGCCTGGGCGTGGGGAGGGCGCCCGTGGCCGACAAGGTCCTGCAGGAGCTGAGGTGCCTCACGGCACAGCTGGACAGCTACGGAGGTGAGTGGGGGCCGGCGCGCCCCCTTCCCGGGGGCCCCTCAGCTCTGAGGCCTCTGTCCGCCCACAGGCCGGCCCTTCCCGCTGGCCCTGCTCGGCTGGGCTCCCTCCAACATCACCTTCATGCTCCTCTTTGGCCAGCGGTTCGACTACCGGGATCCCATGTTCGTGTCCCTGCTGGGCCTCATCGACAGGGTCATGGTCCTCTTGGGGACGCCCGGCCTGCAGGTGAGAGGTCGCTGCTCCCCGCTTGCTGGGTGGGGGCAGGGAGAGCCGAGCTGCCGCCTCGGGAAGCAGCACAGCAGGCCCCAGGCGCGCTTCCACCAGCCACGTGACCCCAGGCCAGTTCCCTGTGCTCCTGGGAAACGAGGGGCAGGGGTCCTCGCCGCCTCCTCCACACCTTCCGTCAGCAATAGAGGCATCTGCTCAGAGGTGCAGGTGGGACCCAGGCATTTCTTCCCCGGATATGGGGCTCGATGTCCCCCAGGCCCCCAGCCCTTGAACCGGGGGTCCTCCCTCAGGCTCAGGAATCACAGGGATCCGTCCTGGCTCTCAGAACCCCCAGGGCTGCGTGCATTTCATTTTCCAGAAGGTAACTGTTGTCGTCTGTAGCCCCCGTTACCAGTTTTACCCATAACGTGCTCAGGCACGCACATTGAGGCGGGGTACGCACGTATGCTGGCCCGTGGCTCACGTGTACTTTTCAGCCCCGTCTCTCCAGAACCCGAGCCCGTGGGCGTGGGGCGGGCACTCATGGCTTGGGTCCTGATTCTAAGTCATCCCTCGCGGCTGGAGGAGGCTCGGACGGGCAGGAAGATGTGGCCTCCGTCCGAGAGTAGCCTGGCCGAGTCCCACCAGGGAGCCCCAGGAGGATGGAGGCCAGAGGGTCGGGGGCTCCAGGGAGACAGAATGTTCCGTGGCCTTCCGTGCCTGTGCCCCGTGTGATGGCTCGCATTCTGGGGGACACGGTGGTGCGAGTGTAGTCAGAGGGTGGCTGACAGCCGTGTCAGACAGGCTGTGCCGTGAGCCCCGTTTCACGACGTCGTGAGCTGAAACTCTGAAGTTTGCAAGTCCCCCTTTTTTTCTAATGACCCCAGCACATTCAAAGTTACTTCCACAGCAGCAGCCCTCGCCCTTCTCCCTCTTCCCCGCTTTGGTGGGTGGGGGAGCGGGGGGGCCCTGATGGCAGGTTCCTGCTGTGACTTGCACGGACCCCCAGGGGTGTTACCTGTTGAGCGGCCTCTCCTTCCTGCACTCAGGTAGATGACTTCATCAGAGCCCCTGGGGCTGCTGGTCCCACTGAGAGGGTGAGGGAGGGGCCCCGTGAGCAGGGAGCAGGTGCCCCCTTGTGGCACCTCTACCTGGGGTCTGGGGCTGTGCCAGGGGCCCCCCGACAGGTGAGCACAGCTGCCGGAGTACGGATCCGCCCCTCACCAGGTGGGGCTGTGGCGCCTGTGCCCTCACCCCCCAACCACGCCGTCTTGCCCCCTGCCCCCAGCTGTTCAACATCTACCCTTGGCTCGGGGCCCTCCTCCAGCTGCACCGGCCCGTCCTGCGGAAGGTGGAGGCGGTGCGGGCCATCCTGAGGAACCTCCTGGAGGCACGGCGGCCCCCCGTGCCTGGGCGAGGGCCCATGTAGAGCTACCTGGACGCCCTGATCCAGCAGGGCCAGGTGTGGGCAAGACCCACCCCACCACCCAAGAGACCTAGGGGGCATCCCGGGGCCCCACCCAGGAGGAGAGGTGCTGGGGAGGGAGCCATGCTGGCCCTACGCCATACTGCTCCACCTCTGGGGGGGAGCCTCTCTAAGCCTCAATCTCCTGATCTGTGAAATGGGACGGTTGTAAGGCTGCGGTGAACCCAGAATGCCGTAGGCGCTCGGTAGATCCTGGCAGTATCCTTCCCGTCAGGCCTCTGTCTTCTATGCCTTTTTTGAGCCTGGGGCTGGCGGGGGGCGGGGGGGGGTCCATGGAGCCAGCCTCCAGCTGAGCCCAGCCCCACCCACCTCTGCAGGGGAAAAACCCCGAGGGCCTGTTTGCCAAGGTCAACGTGGTGGCCTGTGCCCTGGACATGGTCATGGCTGGCACGGAGACCATGTCCGCCACGCTGCAGTGGGCCGCCCTCCTGATGGGCAAGCACCCGAGTGTGCAGGGTGAGCCCGTGAGCCCGTTCCCGCAGGGCCCAGGACCGAGGGGCAGAGGCTCCCCGGGACGCTGGCGCCCATCCTCTTGCCCGCAGGCCGGGTGCAGGAGGAGCTGGACCGAGTGCTGGGGCCCGGGCGGCCCCCCCGGCTGGAGGACCAGCGCTCCCTGCCCTATACCAACGCCGTGCTGCATGAGGTCCGGCGCTTCATCACCCTCCTGCCCCACGTGCCGCGGTGCACAGCCTCCGACACCCAGCTGGATGGCCACCTGCTCCCCAAGGTGGGAGGGCCAGGCCCCCCACCCCGGACCTGTTCCTCTCGTTCGCAGCAGATGGGGCTGGGGGTCTCAGGGACTCAGGTGCCTGATGCCAGGGCTCCCCATAGGAGGTAGGAGATGGGTGGTTCATCGGGAGGCAGCCCTCGGCCGCACAGCCCCTCACAGCAGACCCGGGGCCACACCACGGGGGTCACCTGGGGCTAAGCACGAACCCCCAGCAGATCCCTGCCAGGCCCCGCCCCGCCTTCCCACCCCCATCAGGGCCCCCTCCCTGTGCTCCCCGCCTGGGGCCGCCTGGGTGGACGGGGCGTCCATCTGCCCACCTGCCGCCCCTCACAGGGCACGCCTGTGGTGCCCCTCCTGAGCTCCGTGCTCCTGGACAAGACGCAGTGGGAGACCCCCCGCCAGTTCAACCCGGGCCGCTTCCTGGACGCCGACGGGCGCTTCGTGAAGCGGGCGGCCTTCCTGCCTTTTTCTGCAGGTACCACAGCCCCACGGGCGGCGGCCTGGTCCCCGGGGCCTCGAGAGCTCAGGGTCCCCAGCCCGCAGGGCTCCCCCCACCCCGCCACAGCCTCCGGCACCCACCCCGCACCCCGCGTCCCCTGCAGGCTGCCGCGTCTGCGTCGGGGAGAGCCTGGCCAGGTCGGAGCTGTTCCTGCTGTTCTCAGGCCTCCCGAAGAGGTACTGCCTGCTGCCCCCGCCCGGCCTCAGCTCCGCCACCCTGGACACCACGCCCACCCTGGCCTTCACCACGCGGCCGCTGACCCAGGCCCTGTGTGCGGTGCCCAGGCTGCAGGGGCGCTGACCACGAGAGGCCTGGCCTGACTATGGGACAAAGTCCCAGGGCCGGGGAGGGTCTGAGTCACTCCCAGCTTGGGGTGCTCGGCAGGTGATGGAGACAGGATGGAAGGACGGATGGCTCCCCCCACTGGGCTCTCTGCCGTGGCCACCACAGGCTGCATATCCCAACCCCGGCCTGAGAGCCCCACCCAGGCTTGACCCTGTTCTGCCTCTCCCAGGCCCTGCACCACAGGGCAGAGCTGGGTTCCCTCCTCCCTCCATCCCTACACCCTAGGGCATCGCTGCTGCCTGTCTGCACCTGGGCCCCCTGCAGACCCTCCAGGGCGCCCCCCCCCCCCCACGGGTGCAGCAGCCCCTCACAGGCCTCCCCGCTGCTCCCTCCTGCATCCCCCTCCACACTGTCCCCATCTGGTTCCCCAGCAGGGCCAGCGTCGCCAGACAACACCTGCCAGGCACAGAGGTGCCACCCACCTGCAGCTGGGGATACAGGCAGATGGCAGGGGCTGCTGGGCCCCGGGATGACGTCCACCCAGAGGCCAGCCTCAGACCAGCGTTCCCGCTTGCTCTGTGCCGTGCCCGGTCCTGCCCTGGGTCCAGCGGGTCTCCTGCAGACCCCACCCCGTTCTCAGAGGTCCTGGGCACCGTACTCAGGCAGCACTCTGCCCCTGGAGCCAGGCCCCTGAGCCCTGGGGCCACCACAGAGACACCCTTAGCAGAAGACAAGCTAGTTGAGGGGCAGCGGCCACCCAGAGGGCGACGGCGGGGCTCAGGTGGGAAGGTTGAGTAGGAGTTTGCAGGGAGGCCGCCTCCACAAGCCTCTTCTCTGGTCCACTCTGACCCCCCGCTCCTCTTCCACATCTGCCCCCACACCCTCCCCATGAACCGGCTCCTTGTCTCTGCGTGGAGGTCACCTCTCCGAGGAGGAGCACAGAGGGGCCAGCTGGGGGTGGGTGGAGGGCCGGGGCCCGGGACGTGGCAGGAGGTTAGCGATGCTGGAGGATTCTGCACAAAGCGCTGAGATCACACCGATGCCTTCCCAACACCTTGTCCATGAGCTGGATGGGGGCAAACGAGCCGTGGCTTCCGCCCTCCTGGAGCTCGGAGCTTGCCGCCTGGACCAGAGGGAGGCACAGGGCTGGGGGCGTACAGGAAAAGCCTCTGTTCCCAGCTGGGCACCAGAGGGCCTTCCTGGAGGAGAGCGGACACTGGGGAGTGTCAGATGAGTGCAAATTGAAAAGCCTGTGACCGCGCTAAGCCGCACGTGGGGCAGGGGGTGGGGTGTGGGGAGGGGAAGCTTCCTAATAATGAAGGGCAGGGCTGTGGCCACGATACATTACAGTGGGCCCGGGAAGGGGAGGGTGGTCCCCACATCCCTGGAGGGGGCTGGGGGCAGGGCAGCGAGGGTTCACTGTGTCCTTCTCTTCTTGTCGGTTTGGAACACCTGGCGTTGAACGCGGGGCGCAGGGAGCCCGCCTCGCCCAGGGCACAGCCGAGGTACCAAGCTTCACTCTGCAGGGTGGGCAGAATGTTCCGGAGGCCACAGAACTGGCCCAAAGCTGCTGTGGGAAGAGACTCGGCTTTCTGGCAGCGGGCCCTGGTGGGATGAGGTGGGTACGGCTGTAAGGAGGGAAAATGCTAGCATCGCCATTGCAAGACCCCTGCTCTCTGCCGTGGACCCAGAGCAGGAACCGTGGCTGCGGCACCTCCCGGGACATCCCACTGGGCCCAGGTGCAGGACCCAGAAACTAAGGCGCTTATTTTCTAACTTACAAGAATAGGTGACAAGATGAACCACTTTCAAAGGTGATGTTAAGTTTTCTCAAAAGAATCTGGTTGGTTGGTTGACGGTTTACGGCAGTTATTTTAATTTGCCAAAAACAAATTTAAAAAGCCGTCCTGCTGGGTTGGAAGGGGTAGATCCTGGCAGAAAAGGATTTAAAAATGTGCTGCTCGGACTTCCCTGCTGGCGCAGTGGTTAAGAATCCGCCTGCCAAGGCAGGGCACACGGGTTCGAGCCCCGGTCTGGGAAGATCCCACATGCCGCGGAGCAACTAGGTCCATGCGCCACAGCTACTGAGCCTGCGCTCTAGAGCCCGTGCTCCACAACAAGAGAAGCCACCCAACGAGAAGCCCGCGCACCGCAACGAACAGTAGCCCCGGCTCGCCGCAACTAGAGAAAGCCTGCGCGCAGCAACGGAGACCCAACACAGCCAAAAATAAATCAATAAACTTTTAAAAAATAATAAATAAAAATACAAACGCGCTGCTGCTCGGGGCAGCCCGGCCCCACAGGTGGCCTTGGCGGCTCGAACGCAGCTGAGGGGGCGGGGCGCCGGCGGGCAGAGACACAGCTGGGAACAACGGTGACCCCGGGGTGTCCGTGCATGGCGTTGGGAGTTGGGGAACCCTGTTTCTGGGCCGAGGCTCCGGCGGGGATGGGGCTTCACTGGAGGGACTCCCCTGGGACGTCAGGAGGGGGCTCGGCGCCCAGGCATGCAGATCACTGCCGCTTGGCGCCCTCAGGCGGTGGGCTGCTCGTCACCTGCCCCAGAGCATCTCCGCCTCCCTCCCCAGGGGGCGGTCACCCCAGTCCAGATGCACATCTGTGGGGGACTGGGCAGAGGGCTGGCGTGAGCGAGACCCTCGTCCCCCAAGTCCAGGGCTTGGGCCCCACCCTCTCTCGGCAGGGGACCCAGGCCTCCATTCTCAGGCTCCCCTTGCCCCCGCCTTGAAATGGCCAGACTCGGGCCAGCTGGCTGGGGCCCAGGAGAGCCGAGAGCACCTGGCCTCTGGGGAAACCGATCCCTTCCCCCTGCTTTATGTCGACAGGAACGAAGCACGTTTTGCCAAGTTTGACGTCTGTCGTCTGACCCACGAAACCAACCCCTGGACCCGCCTGCCGGACTCAGACAGTCTGAAAGCTTCTTCAGCTCCTCAGCAAGGGATGTGGGACTAGGAACTGGGGACGGTGGACATCTGCCCGGCCCCTGGGGCTGCCCCCGACCCCTGCCGAAAGGCAGAAGCCCTCCCCACTACCCAGTGTGCAGATCGACCCCAGGGTGGGAGCTGACGGGTCAGTCATCTCACATTCTAGTTGGTTTTGTTTCTTTTTTTTTTTTTTTGAGGTACGCGGGCCTCTCACTGTTCTGTCCTCTCCCGTTGCCGAACACAGGCTCTGGACGCGCAGGCTCAGCGGCCATGGCTCACGGGCCCAGCCGCTCCGCGGCATGTGGGATCTTCCCGGACCGGGGCACGAACCCGTGTCCCCTGCATCGGCAGGCGGACTCTCAACCACTGTGCCACCAGGGAAGCCCTGTTTCATTTTTTAAAGTATTTTTCTTACTGTGGTAAAACATAGAGAACATACAATTTATCGTCCTACCCACTTCTCAGTGTCCAGTTCAGGAACATCACGCTCGTTCACGCTGTTGAGGAACCGTCAACACCATCCACGCACAGAACATTCTCGTCTTTCCAAACTGAGACTCTGTCCCATTAAACACCAGCTCCCCTCCCCCTCCCCCAGCCCTGGGCCCCCACCCCCTACTTTCTGTCTCTCCAGGGACCTCGCAGAAGTGGAATCACACAGTATTTGTCCTTCTGTAATAGTTTATTTCACTGAGCATCATGTCCTCAAGGTCCATCACGATGTGTCAGTTTCCTCCCTTCTAAAGGCTGAGTCATAGCCCATCTTACGGATGAAGCACCTTTTAACTGCTCACCGTTTGTCGGACACTCCAAGCTTTAGATCCTGTTTCTCGCTGGCTGTGCGGCTTTTGGGAGAAGCGTCCGCGGGCAGACGTCCATCAAGGGCCCCCTGGCATCGTGGGTCAGGAGGGGGCAGGTGGGCTGGACGTGAGGACTGGGCTCACGTGGGTTGGTCAGTCCCTGGACAGTCTGTTCCCAAGGCTGCAGTGCCCCAGCCTCTTGAGGGGGAACCTCTGGGGGCCGGCGGGTGGCTCTTGGTCCAGATCTGCCTTTGGTTCCAGGGCTGGCCCCTGGCCACACCGCATCAGCCCTAAAGCACAAGCGAACCCTCCAGAACAGACATACAGGCTGCGGTCTCAGCTCCTGGGGCTGCAGGGGCTTTGACTGGAGACGTTCTTCTGTGAGTCCAGAACCCAACGGTGTTGCGTGGCCGCCACCCACCTCGCAGGGCAAACCCGTGGTGGGGGAGAGCACACTGGGGGCAGGGGTCCCGGCTCGGGCGTCTAACTTCCCGAGGCCCCTCCGTCCCAGCTTCCTTCCCGTCGCGCAGGGACACTCTGGCTGGTCACTGTATCCTTACGGGACCGACGGGACACACTCAACACCAGTTTACCCAAAGTGGACGCGAGCCTCCTGGGGGTGCAGAAGCAGCTGAGTCCCCACATCCCACAGGCGAGGCCAATAGGAAACACCTGCTTCTCAGCCATAAACCTGACAACTACTGGCTCCGTGGCGGTGGCTTCCTCGGAGGGCCAGGGTGCGGGGGTCTGAGGCTTTGACAGGCCAGTGAGCTTGGCCGCACCTCAGAAAAAGCCCCGCCAGCTCCATCCTGATCCCTCGGGGTGCCGTGGCCGCTGACCTGACGGACGCCCGGGACGCCCCCCGCAACAGGTGGGGGAGCTCCACCTGCCCCCTCAGGGAGATGCTCCTCAGCCCACGGACGGACACGGTGGCCGGCGAGCCTAGTACCCGTGTGCAGCCACCAGGCTCAGACCCTCCACATCAACTGACCCCTGGGGCCATCAGAGTGCCACCTATGACCACACAGGGACCCCAGGAACCGCCTGGACCCTGAGCTTGGTCCCGCACCAAGCGATGCATCACCTCCCCTGCGCCTTCTGCTGGGGGGATGCCGCAGAGGACGGCACTGCACACCCTACGGGAGCCCCCTAAGTCAGTGTCCAAGAGCCTCTGTGCACAAGGGGAGCGCCTGGCTCTCCTGGGCCGTTTCACATTAACAGGAGATGAGGACCCAGTACCACCATGTTTCCCTTTTCGATTTGGCTGCCAGGAAACCCAG